TCATCAGCCAACCCCAAGGACCCATGACCACTCTCTGAATGCCTTGACCTCAACGATGTTGGGCCTTGCTATCAATTTTGACCTCTGGCGGCGCTGGCTCATAGCTGAAGATTGCGATTGAAGGAATGACTGCATCATCATCATAGACATAGAATTGCTCATCAAGTTCCTCCTTTTTCATCATGCTCTCCCAATAGTCAGGCGTTAACCATCTACTTCATCTTTTCACCAAAGTGGTTCTCATCAACCCTGGCGATTCTTAGACCTCTGGAATGACTGTGGGGTCCACGAATCTTGAAGCCGGTAAGCTTCCAACTAGCAGTCCATGCTGGTTGAATCTCCAACCTGATTCCTTTTCCAAAGATTCAGGCGCTTGCGCCCCCAAGCAGCTTTCATCTTTAGCAAGGTGTCCTGCCTTTCCACAAGTGTAACATGTTGCTGCACCTTTGCCTTTTTGGGCCTTTACCTTTACCTTTGCCCTTGAAATCACCTTCTGAGCTCCTTTGCTTTTCTTTCCTTTGCCCTTGGCATCTTTACCCTTACCTTTCTGTAGGTCATTCTTGCCCTTCTTGCCTGTTCCTTTGGCATTTTGGGCTCGGTCCACCTCCATTGGCGTAGGCCCTTGGCCCTTGATAGTCTGTACTGCTACTAGCCACCATGGAAGTAGCCCGCTTTTGCTGAGATCTTTCCCATTGCAACACTTGTTCCCTCAAAGTTGAGTATTGAACATTGTCGCTAATTGTCAAGTTCAATTATGATTTGAGTTGTCCAACAACACATCTCAAAAGAATAGCAGACTTCAAGTCTACCTGACTTGTAGTTCCTGATTTGACTGTCTCATCAAATACTTCGCCAAGCAAGAGTTGAGGTTGTAGCGCGCTGTTCATTGAAAACGCTGGCCATGTAGTGGCTGCTCCCAAGCGTGCCAAGCCTCTTGCCATTGAAGTTGGTTTCAAAGCTTTATTCAAAGCCTTCCAGGCGTCAAATCCATTGAGGTCTTCCACAGCTTTCACCAATTGCAGCGCCCTTCCTCTCATCAATGAAGCTAACAATCCATAGAGCTTGACGCACCTGGTCTTCTCTGCATCATCAGCCAACCCCATGTCAAGTTTGTCATTTGGCTCCTCGTGAACTTCATTCAAGTTCTTCATGTAGCCCGCTCAAATACTTTTCAAGGACCCATGACCACTCTCTGAATGCCTTGACCTCGACTATGTTGGGCCTTGCTATCAATTTTGACCAGTCTGTGGTCGATGACTTCTTGTCCTCAACTGCCTTCTTCACTGCCCCAGATGCTGATGTTGTTGCTGAGCGTACTCTGTGCTATTGTTTGATGGATTTCTCTGACCTCCTCCATCTTCTCCTTGTACTAATGTCTTTCTGACACAATGTACTGGGTGCAGGGTGTTGCTCACAACAATGATTCACCAGTCCAGCTGTTTCCAAAGGCACCAAATCTAAAGCTCGAAATCGCACCCGGGATCCCAATGACCTAGAGGCTTTTCACTCAGAGCTCCAGAGGGGTTACCTCCTTCTCAGCTCCACTGACAAAAGGGGCTGCGCAGTGGTGTCACGCACACTCATGATGCAAACGAAGTCACACATCTGCGCAATGAGCTATTTGGAAAACGGTTCGCGCTCCTTCTTGGCGATGTGCTAAAATGCTTTTTTGACCTCACTTTGCCACCGTAGTCTATTTTCTTCATTTTCTTCCTCCCCGAGATTGATGATATCTGTGGAAAGAACATTCTGCTTCTTACTTGGTGTCTCTTCTCCACTAGGCTTCCTCCACCCCGTTGGAATCAAGTAGTTGTCTTCTTTTTTCTGAATCACTTCCTCCTTCCAGCGCCTTGGCCATGACTTCATCCTTGAACTTCAGCGTCACACGTTCTCGAAGAATGTCTGTGCGCGCTGCCAGTAACGCTTCTGCTCTCCTCTTGGCGACAATGATCCCACCTCCAAAATTGGTTTGATACCCACATGAAAATGCGTTGAAGCCTTTGTATATGGGTAAGTGTTTGGACCAATCTTGATCTGTTCTTCTGATACATTTGCTGAGCACTACCTGCACTCCATTTGTGAGTACATATATCTTGCCTTTCAACTTTTCCCAAGAACAAGCATAAATGACATCTCGCTTCTCCCTATTGAGGCTTTTGACGTAACCATGAACTGGTTCACCATACCCTGCTAGAAGTCCTTTGTAACTCTTGCCATAGACAAGCTCAAAGGGGCTTGCTCCTTTCACTGGCTGAAATCTGTTAAGCGCCCAACTGGCATTTCTTGCTGCCCAGGCCAAAGTGCACACCTTCAATGAAAGTTCCTTCAAGCTTTCTCACCCTGTCAACAGTCTTTTCTGACAGAAACGATTGATCTCCAAGCTTTGTTTTTACCAATCTGGTAGTGAGTCCTAGACTGTGGCGAGCATTGATCAGCATCTTGAGGGTTTGCCTTGTTGTGGGTTCATTGTCACTCTTGTAGGTGATTGTTGAATACCACCACAGTTGATTGAAATTCATCAATTAGGCGAAATTGGCCTTTGCTTCCTAATGGTACTATGTACAACATGAATGAACTGCTTGTTTTGTGAGCTTTGGCTTCACTGACCAAGCGTTTGGCGTTCAACAGTTCCATCTTCTTGTTGCGATTGAGGATCTTGGTGTGGACCTTTAGCTTAGACCCACTGCCTGCAACTCTACTCCATTCACCAAGACTTTGTCTACATCCATTTGGGCTCAATTGAAGTTCACATTCAAGGTCTTCATCCTTCTTTTCCTCTTCTCTCTGGCCTTCTACCTCCATACCCTGGCGCAAAGAACCCCATAGCCTCTGGCGGCGCTGGCTCATAGCTGAAGATTGTGGTTGAAGGAATGACTGCATCATCATCATCATAGAATTGCTCACCAAGTTCCTCCTTTTTCATCATGCTCTCACAATATTCAGGCGTTAACCATCCACTTCATCTTTTCACCAAAGTGGTTCTCATCAACTCTGGCGATTCTTAGACTTCTGGAATGACTGTGGGATCCACGAATCTTGAAGTCAGTAAGCTTCCAACTAGCAGTCCATGCTGGTTGAATCTCCAACCTGATTCCTTTTCCAAAGCTTCAGGCGCTTGCGCCCCCAAGCAGCTTTCATCTTCATCTCGAATGACTCTAATGCGGCCTTGAACTTCACGTCACCATTCTCCAACATTTGCTCTCTGCTGTTGATTCCCCAACCATGCTCCATCAACCTTGCATAACAAAGTATGGGTTGACTCACCTTAGAACTGAAGATCAGGTTCTATTTGAGAAGAACTTTCTTGCGCATCAAGGTCACGCGATGAATTTCAACACCTTTCGCACCTGCTGTGGGGATACGGTTTCCTTGTGCATCTTGTAGCTTGGTCTTTGTGCTGAGTTACAAGTCTCCTTCCCCATGATCTGCCATACTCACCAGGAATAATGCTACATCAGCTCGTCAAAAATGATGGCCACATCCTCGCAACTCTCCTAATCATGGATTCACAATGTGAGATATGAACCTCCTCAATTTCTTAGAATTCTGACTCATCATCATCTCCACTGTAGAAGTGAAGCACTGGAACTCCTTGGTCTTCTAGCTCATCATCCTTCTCTCGCACGTCAAAGATGATTGGCTCACTGTTCTCATTCTTCTGACCACTGGTTTGGTCTCTGCTGAGCTACCTTTTTGGCTCACATTGGCATGCTGCTGACCAACTGTATGAGTCGTCACTGATGCTCCTCCTGAAGATGAATGGGCTTGATCACTTGCTGTCGAATATTGTTCCTCCAACCGTCTTTAGCAAGATGCCCTGCCTTTCCACAAGTGTAACATGTTGCCGCACCGTTGCCTTTTGGGTCTGTACCTTTACCTTTGCTGTTGATCATTCTTGCCCTTCTTGCCTGTTCCTTTGGCATTTTGGACTCGCCTCCATTGGCATAGGCCCTTGGCTGAGATCTTTCCCATTGCAATACTTGTTCTCCCAAAGTTGAGTATAGAACATTGTCGCTAATTGTCAAGTTCAAGTATGATTTGAGTTGTGCGCCCACACATCTGAAAAGAATAGCAGATTTGAACCCTTCCTGAATTGTAGTTCCTGACCTGACTGTCTCATCAAATACTTCTTCAAGCTTCAAGAGTTGAGGTTGTAGTGCACTGTTCATTGAAAACGCTGGCCACGCAGTGGCTGCTCCCAAGAGTGCCAAGCCTCTTGCCGTTGAAGTTTGTTTCAAAGCTTCATTCAGAGCCTTCCAGGCATCAAATCCATTGGGGTCTTCCACAGCTTTCACCAATTGCAGTGCCCTTCCTCTCATCAATGAAGCTATTCATCCATGGGGCTTGATGCGCCTGGTCCTCTCTGCATCATCAGCCAACTCCATGTCAAATTTGTCACTTGGCTTCTCGTGAATTTCCTTCAAGTCTCTAGCCCTCATCAACTGCGCTCAAATACTTCTCAAAGACCCATGACCACTCTCTGAGTGCATTGATCTCTTCTTCTTGTGACTTGCGGTCAAAGATGTTGGGCTGTGCTATCAATTTTGACCAATCTGTGGTTGATGACTTCTTGTCCTCAACTGCTTTCTTCAATGCTAGCGTACTCTGTGTGTGCTATTGTTTGATGGATTTCTATGATCTCCTCCATCTTCTTACTAATGTCTTTGTGACACAATGTACTGGGTACAGTGTTGCTCACAACAATCATTCACCAGTCCAGCGAGTCCAGCTGTTTGGGTTCCAACGGCCCCAAATCTATGGCTCGAAATCGCACCCAAGATCTCAGTGACCTAGGGGCTTTTCACGGAGAGCTCCAGAGGGGTTACCTCCTTCTCAGCTCCGCTACCATACGCACTTTTTCCTGTCTGACAAGAGGGGCTGCGCAGTGGTGTCATGCACACTCATGATGCAAATGATGTCACGCATCTGTACAATGATCTATATGGAAAATGGTTCGCAATATTCAGTTTGGTGTGGTTGTGCATTTCCACTCAGCAAGCCTGGCAAAGTTCCTGCCAAAGCATCCTGAGGAAGCAATTGTCTATAAAGAGCATTAACTTCTACATGCTGGCTATGGCCAAAATAGGTCTGGGTCGCAGGCCTGCGCCGATGCATTCCAACTTTGCAGCAAGGGATTCTCGTTGAACCTCTCAGAATCAATTGCACCAGCATATGAGCAGGCATGTTCTGAGTGCTGTAAATGTGGTACTGCAAAAAACTGCCAAGCAGCCATTGGCCAGGAGAATCTGCGAAGTTCCCACCTGAGAATTTAATTAAAGCCGCCTCGAATTTCATTGTTTCGACACAAACAATTTCACAAATCCCCTAGCCTATACATATACACAAAAATATATGTTTAACTGAGTACCATACCGAGAGGTGGCTGGAAGATTAGATGTATCAAGTCAGATGTATCAAGGGATATTGAAAAAGAAAGAAGCCACAGTTGGCAGGACAGCAAAGCCTCTCTTGCTGTAGCAGTGTCCTCTCAACTACACTGAGCATCCACAATCACCACACCCTGCACCCTGCGCCTGGGTTCGACATCATAGGATCGTCGTTCCTTGCAATGGATATCTACTTGAGTGGGTGATGGATGATCGGGCAGAAGCAACTCCAAAGATTGCTACGCACCTCGATGGAATTTCTGGGATGCCCTGGCCAGAACTGGTTGGGCAAAGGGTCATTCTTATATAGTGATTAGTGCCTTGCCCGGAAGCATTGACAACACGTTACAAGCCTGAGCGTGCCCTTGACCATCATTTTGGTTTTGAATCATGTCACTGTCAAGCATCGTTGTTTCGCGGTCTAACGTTGTTGCAAGTAAAGTGACGCAGAACTTGACCAAGCCAAACCGAAGGCCCGTCTGTTCAAATAGCAACATACTAGCACCCTGAAGTTTTGAGCTTGAGGTCTACAGAACCACCCAAGGGATAGACCAATCTCATACCATCTGAGAGTTGCTGTCCTCCACATGGACCGGAGCTTCCAAACTAAAGTGCTCGAAAATGCAAAAGAGAAGAAAGTGCGAACACTTCCGAGCAGCCTGGGAGCATCTGCCCGCAAAGGACATCAACCTGTCCCGTTGTTGCAAGTCTAATCCTTTTCTATTGCCGGGCTGAAAGACCTTCAGCTGAGCATGATTCATCACTTGGAAAGCATTGGTAACCACTCCGCATAAATTCACTGGCAACAGTAGCTGGCATGTTTGTCTGGCTTCCAAGCATGTCTAACATGTGCTTATGGCCTCTAGCTCTCCAGGCGATCAAGTACAGCGAGAGTGCATTGCTGCAATCAGTTACTGTATACATCTGTCTATATATATATAGATCTCTCAAACATTCAACAATGAACAAGGAACAAGTAAACGGAAGTGCCCTCTGCATATGTGTGGCCCGGAGAATCCCCTTGAAGGATAAACTCTATAGACTCTAGAGGTATGCTGATATGGATCTAGTGGTCGCCATCAACCTGATGCTGTACAGTTGTACGTTAGGTCTTGCATAGCTTGGCAAACGGCTTGAGCAATCACACCGACCACAAGTTTCCTGGATTCAAATAAACCAGTTGGGTCTCTCGCTATGCCAACATACTTGCCATGTGAAGTTCAACCGGTTCCCAAGTCTGAACGGCCTGTGCTCTTGTACAGCTTCATAAACAAGGTGCAACTACAGAAGACTACGACATCACCGATTCTCACCACACGCCACAATCGCAAATGACCGTCAATCACAACATCACAAATCAGTACAAAGGTTGCTTGAATCAGCTTGGACCACACAGTACACAAATGCGAAAGATTCTCACACTCGCATAGCTTCGATCCCAAGCTGGCTCATGTGGCTTGTACGCGGCATTGCCAGAATATGAGTGTCAAACGATATGTAATTGCTATCCTGATGTTTAGACTCTTAGATACTGCGCCTAAAATGAGAACCTATGTTTCCAGACAGACTACAGTAGCCTGGTTCACACAAAAACAAAGAAACAAAACGCAACTGCAAAGTTCACGCACGGATCGTCTCCAACACGGTTGCCACAGGGGGTACCACCTGCAGCTATCTCGTCTCAAGCGTCACGACACAGGTGTGGTCTGCCACAATTATTTACTTTGGTTTGTACGTGAAAGATGTAGAAACCATGCCAGAATCGATAAAACAGAAGCTGTTTGAAATCCTTGGAACTTTTCTGGACTTTTGGAGCCAGACTCGCACACAGGCTCCGAAAATTTGCTTTGCAGCTAGCTTGCTTGACAGCAAATCCTTCTCGGCCAAAAGGAACACATTGAAAGCTATAGAGTTGACAAAAAGACACATGATGAAGCCATAAAGCCCCAGTCTTCCTTAAGGCCGGATTGGACAGAAACGTGCCAGTCTGTTCTCTACAAAAAAATTGACCAGCAATTCTGTGGAACAAAGCTCCACCCAGCAAGTCTGACCAAAGTAATCACAACAACCTTTTGCATCTGTTCACACAAAGGGCATGCAGCAGTCACACAACATCTCATGTGTCCCTTGAACCTCTCTTAGGATGAATTGGTCGGGTCGGCAATGGATGCCTCATTGTCGGGGTAACAAATCGGCTTCATGGTGTGAAGTGGAACAGTAAGCCAGGCAATGCCAGTCGATGCCATGGCCGAAAGGAGGCCTTCCAGCAATACATGCATACAAATGCAGGGTTCTGCAGGTTTACATGTACAGCGTTCAACTGCAACCCAAATCAGCAAAAACTCACGGACTGAATCCCAAATCCTAAAGCAAATAAAACGTGAAACAACGTGAACTGTCACATATCCTTCTCAAGAGCACACTCGGCGCATATCACAAGCATCATCCCAATGGCTCAGGCACATGGACTCGGAGGGCTGGGCACAGCGCCCAATGCTAGACTCGGCCAAAGGCATGTATAAACCTTAAACGGAAAACAGGTGGCCCGAGAACTCAATGTGAGCCAAGCCCCCGACGGAACCATTCAGACTGGGAAGCAAAGGGGGTGCTACTCAAGCTGGGCGACAAGCTGGGCGACAAGTGCAAACAATTCTTTGCCAGCCAGGCAACCGTTTATCCAAGCTGGGCAAAGCATGTAGAGGACATGGGGGGTAGCCAAAGGAGTCGACAGCCATCCAGACCCGGAGACGTGCATCATTCTAATCCCGAGTACCTATTAAAAAGCGGACCCAGATAAATAAAAATCATGTCGGATCCCCCTAAAATGCGGCTTATATGTGTTTTTAAATTGCCGCCATTTCAGGCCGCTACCAAACTACAAACATGGCCGATTTTGGAGGAGTTTTTCTTATTAGGTTCCAAGAACAACCGTAACTGCCCACCTCTGTCCGTCCCGTCTATCCACCATGATACGCCGCGCTTACACCAGCAGGCTTTCCTTCCCCCAATGGCACGGACTCACGCAAACGCACTTGCCACCGAGTTCATGCAACACCGCATGGCACAGCGACATCACCTTTCGAAAGCTTTAGCTGTTAGTCTACTGAAGAATCACTGTTCTATTGAAGGTTTTTGTAGGGAAAAGGAAGAGCCTTCGATCTGGAGTGTTTTTGCATTTTTGATACGAGTTTAATAAAGGATTTTATGAAATTTTCATGGACTACTTTTTGGTTTTGAAACTCTTTCCAGGTGACCCTATTTTGGACCACCCCGATTTCAGGGACCCCCTATTTTAAAAAATGCAACCGAGGTTTCCTTATTAGGGGGGGGGCACGTTTTTTAATAGGTGGACCGGATTAAGTTGGAGATGGTTAGTTTACATGTGGAAGAGCAAGCAGCCCTTCAATAACGGATGACAGATAAACACATACAACACGAAGCTTGAAAACACACATATGAGATGGGCAAACAAAAGGTGCTCACCAAAACTCTGACATTCAGTGCGGGTTCCTTTTGGCCGCTGCGTGACCTACGAGGCTGGAAGGGTTCATTGTGGGTTACTTGTTGGCAACTGCAAATGGCACTCCGGCCTCATGCTCCAGCAATGAGTTCGCCATGCTGATTCCGCCTCAGAGCTCGCTCCTTGGCACCTTGGCGCAACAAGTTTAAGGAAATACCCCCTTGTTTTCTGCGCATGAAATTGGGACACGTTGACGCGGCTGAAGCACGATCTCTAGATTGGGTTGGCTGTGTCCGGCGTGGTGCACCATCAAAGGAGTCGTAAAGCCTTGGCTTGAGCACTACAATAAGAGCAGGCCGAAAGTGGCCCGAACAAGAACAAAATGCCCCGACCAGATCGAACAATATGATTTTGACGAATTGTGGTGGCCCAAAGAAAATCCACTTGTGACTTGCGAGGTCAAAGACTTGTGTTTCAGAGTGCTCTGACGAGGTTGAAACGGTGCACAGGGTGAGATTTGGAACAATTAGCGGAAGAAGGTTGACACCTCTTCCCCTCACCATTACATAAAAAGGTCAGCATACCCACCTATCTGTTGGGCAGGATAAATAAAGTGTCTGGTCTGATCAAACCAGGCCACCACAGGCTGTGGATTTACATCTATGTTGCACACATCGGGCATGCTTTAGATGTGCGTGAGCCTTTTGGGATCCAACTTCATAACATTGAGGCTCAGCCCAGCAGCAGACACTGGCAGGCCCCAACCCCCTCACCATTACATAGAAAGGTCCACATACCCACCTACTGCCCTGTTGAGCAAGGTAAAGTGTCTGGCCATAAACTTGCCCAACAGGGCACTTGGTCAGCAAAGGTTCACACACATCAAAAAACATTTCAGATCTGTGCAATTTAGATCTAAATCCACAGCCTGGTATGTGGGCCTTTCTACGCAATGGTCATCTAAAGCATTTCGGGTGTCTGCAACTTATGCCAGTGTGTTGGCAATCCCGGTGACTTTCCTTGAAGCCTTGAGCCCTGCTGACGCCCTGACGCCTTGAAGCCTTGAGTCCTTACTGACGCCCTGACGCCTTGAAACCCTGCTGGAGCCATGATGCCTTGAAACCTAGTGACGGCCTGAAGCCTAGTGACGACCTGAAGCCTTGAAGACCTGAAGCCTAATGAAGACCTGAAGCCAGTGACGACCTGAAGCCTTGAAGACCTGAAGCGTGGTGACGACCTGAAGCCTTGAAGACCTGAAGCCTGGCGACGACCTGAAGCCTTGAAGACCTGAAGCCTCTTCGTGTCTTCGTGTCTTCGCGTGTCTTCGTGTCTTCGTGTCTTGGGGTCTTCGGGTCTTCGTGTTTTCATATCCTCGCATCTTCGTGTCTTCATGTCTTCGCATCTTCGCGTCATCGAGTCTTCTTGTCTTCGTGTCTTCATATCTGCGCGTCTTCGTGTCTTCATATCTTCGCGTCTTCATGTCTTTGGGTCTTCGCGTCTTCGAGTCTTCGTGTCTTCTTGTCTTCGTGTCTTTGGGTCTTCGTGTCTTCGCATGTCTTCGCGTGTCTTTGGGCCTTCGTGTCTTCGCGTGTCTTCGCTCCAAAGTCGCAACCCGCTTCTGCCAACGCAATCGTTGATACTATATTTGTGTTTTTCTAATTGTGTTTACACCGCATATGTTTTGAAATCATGATTCAATCACGCTGAAAACATATGCTTTCTTCACGTGATACTATTTGTCTCCATTGTTGCTCGCCGTTTCATTTGTTTAATCAGCAACATGAACGTATTTTTCAAGCCCTAACTGTCTGCATCATATCAATTACGCAAGCATAGACCCTAAATAGCAAAAACATTTCTGTGGGGCAGCGCCCGCAGCACCCTCGAGCGCAAGGGACACGTCGCAGCAGCGACACCCTGCAGCAGCACCAGCAGCCAAGCTCCCGAGCCAGCACCCCAGCTCACAAGCGCACACACAGAGGCACCCTGCAACGGCACCAAGCACCCAAGTGCACACGCGGCAAACTTAGTGGTACCAGCATCCAAGCTCCCAAGTGCACACAGCAGCGGCGCCAGCACCCAAACTTCCAAGCGCACACACCAGCAGCACCCTGCAGGGGCACCAGCGCCAAGCTCCCAAGCGCACACAGCACGAGCACCCTGCAGCGGCACAAGCACCCAGGCTCGAAAACGCACGCACGCAGCTTTTCCTGAACTTGAAGTAAGAACCCCAATAGCTCACGCTGTCTGTGGAAAAACTCACACGGCAACGCAAAACTCTCTATAAAATCACCTGGGTGTATCCCCCCAAGCACGAAACCATATATTGCTTTTAGAGCATAGAGGGAATGTTCGAAGGTCAATAAACATACTTGAGGCCAAGGGGGGGGGGCGAAAGCTAGCGCTCCAGAATGGGAAAGTGGAGGGCAGCGAGGTAGGAAAAAACACGGCGCTCTTTTTGGAGGCAGGGGTGAAGAGTCCTTTATATGTGGCTCTTTGCCCGGATCCTCCTGCGAGAGAAGAGAAGAGAGACGGAAAGACGAGAGACAGAGAGGAGAGAGAGAGAGAGGAGAGAGAGATGAGAGAGGAGAGAGAGAGAGAGAGATGAGAGAGATGAGAGAGATGAGAGAGATGAGAGAGATGAGAGAGATGAGAGAGATGAGAGAGAGAGAGAGACAGTGAGACAGTGAGACAGTGAGAGTGAGAGTGAGCGAGTGCGGCCGCAAGATACGCAACGCTAACCGCATGCCAAAGAGCGACGACAGGACGGAGTCGAACTTACGAAGAGGGAGGAGGGAGGGGGAGTGGGAGGAAGTGGGAGGAAGACAAGGAGGAGGAGGAGAGGGGAAGTGGGGTGGGGAGAGGGGAGGGGGGGGGTCTTCGACCTGAAAAATCAGGGGTTAGGATTTGCACCCGGTCGAAAGAAACCTTGCTATCGCAAGAGTAACTCCAGCTAGCTTCGCTAGCTTTCGTGATATCTCTATATACAGTATATGTATGTTCCGCCATTCTTTCTGGCACATCTTCCGGCGTTCTCTATTCCTTCCCGGCATAACTTCTAATTTTCTCTCTTCGACACATCTTCTGACATCTCTCTCACATTGGCGTACCTTCGTTTTTGCATTCTATCTGACATTCTTTCTGGCATACCTTCTGACTTTCCAACTGGCACATCTTCTGACATCTTTCTGGCGCTCTACCTGGCATATCTTCTCGCGCGCGCGCGCGGACATTCTATCTGGACCAGACCGCGCTGGCACTCCCTGTAGTGTTCGGGCCCGCGTGTGCCCCAGACCACTGTTCGGGCCTGCGTGCGCCCAGCAGTGCTCCCTACAGTGCGCGGGTTCCTCGCTCGCTGTGAAATGGGGATGGGTTGGCGGAGGATGAGGATGAGGACAAGGATGAGGAGTGGCACCTTTCATAGAATCTGAAGATAATAACAAAAACAAGAATGAGAAAAAGAATGGATTCAAACCATGAGTGCATCAGCCACGTAACGCTTCAAACCGCTTTGATTCTTCATAGATCAGACCAGAATGCACACCTGCAGCATCTTTCTGATGGATAGGGTTGGCTGCCAAGTCTTTTCATTGCCCAACATGAGCTTGTTGCGGAAGGTCTACTGCAAGCGTTAGTTTTTCTTTAACCCCAAGCGAAAGTCAAGTCGCACTGCAAAAACACAAGCCACACCGCACCAATTGATTGTTTGCCCTTGCCTTGCCTTTTGTCATTCCAAGGTTTCTCCGAGTAGTGCTGCGAGGATCGTCTGCTGTCATCATCAGGGTTATGTTCTCCTCTTCAAGTCAGGCATGGGATGGCACTGGCGCATGAAATATCTTAAATTTAAACACGTCTTGAAGAATGCGTATGCACGTTGTGAACGCGTCCCCAGACACAAGGGAAACCGGTGAGGAAGCGCAGCCAGACCAGACACACTGAATTTTGATCGCTGTAGGATCGGGGATATAAGTTTGATAGGAAACCAACTGAGGCAATTTCTGCACAGACTGAACTCACATAGAAACCACGCTTTGTGGCATTCAAGGCTGATGAACGAAACCAAGACGACAGATAGAAAGGCACATCAACGATCGAGCGAGCCTTGAAATGCATATATAAAGGGAAATCAAACGGTAGTGTTGCACTGCAAATCCAAGACACCCTAGATGTCCAGGAATGACGTTTCCTGCCTCGAGATCGTGTGCTTTGGGCCCTGGTTGGTGCCAGTTGATAGAATGGAACGCCGACCAAAGATAGGTTCAAAAAACAAACTTTAAATTGGCTAGTTTCGCTTGACAACCGTCAGCATCATCCAGTATAAACCTCACGTAGGCTCGGTGCAAAACGACTTGTTTTGGAGCCTCACAAGCTACCAACTAGCGTAGAGCCCGGCACGGGCTGTCATAGTTACTAAGCGAACAGAACAAACAAAAGGTGGGCAAGTTTGCACTCAGCAGGTCACGTAAGCAGGGAATACGTCAGTCAATGCGTGTGTGTGTGTCCACTCCTGTTTCCAAGGACACTACTCTAGCTATTTCTATTCCTATGACTTTACGATCCTTGTACAGCACCAGCAGGGGAGTGGTGCGCGGTCTTGGAGTCACCACTCAACGAAGACACTCCATGCACCGCGGTGAAATCCAGAAGGGACGCCTTCCGGACGTACCTGCGCCAGTTCTGAACTGTTTAAATTGAAGTGTTAAACCATTCTGTTCTCGCTGACAGTGCACCTTCCTTTAGTCAAGGTCTAATCTGCAGTAACTCGAAAGGGCTAATGCACTCCGCGAAGAAGCCTGACATCGCGCTCTACGGAGCAACCTTCTCAAGTGTGTTTCCGCAGCTTCTGTGTGATCCCTGCGGGGCGCCGTTACTGCAAGAACCTTTTCACTCCTCACCGCAGGAGTAAGTGTTCCTGAAGATTTTCTGAAGTTTACTCGACTGAAATTTCCTGTTTGAAATCAGCTTGATTGGAATGTCTCACCTGACACACGTGAAGTGTTACTGCAGAGTTCACTGAAATTTCCACTGAAATATACTGCAGAGTTCGACTGCATAAGTTTCACACCGGAGAAGTCTTTCCAACTTTTAATTTTTCACTGCGCCGATTTCGGCTTCTCGGCCAGCGCCTCCGGGCCCGTGCCATTCGCTCGTAAGAGCATTTCACCCCACCCTTCACCCCCTGCACCTTTTCTTGTTTTTCTTTGCTTTTGCTTTTTCGTTTGTTCCTTCCTTCAGGCTTTTTAAGTTTTCTCCAGGCTTGTTTAGCCCGCCCCCCGCACCCCCTGCACCTTTCTCTTCTTTCCTTGCCTTTTTCGTTTGTCTTGTTCTTTTCTTCAGGCTGGTTAGGTGGCATCCAGGCTCGTTTAGTCAATGCACGCCCGAACACCCCTTCACCCCCCTGGCAGGAAACAGGAGAGAGAAAAAGAAAAAGAAAAAGACAAAGAAAAAGAAAAAGAACACTCGCCGCGACGCTGCGGCCACGGAGAAACAAAGCTGATCCACTTGCTCAGGCGTCGCTTCGATGCAGCTCGTTATGACAAAAGGACATTCAAAGAACACTGCGCCGCGGCGCTGCAGCCAAGGAGAAAAAGACGATCCGCCAGCAGAGTTACCTTTCCACTTCGTAAAACACATGTTCTTCACCTTCCTTGAGTCCTCTTTTCGACGTCCTGATCTTCCACTATTTGACATATATGTATTTTCTGATCCGGTCTAGTTGCGCCGTGCTCGGCTTCTTGTGTGTGTCCACTCCTGTTTCCAAGGACACTACTCTAGCTATTTCTATTCCTATGACTTTACGATCCTTGTACAGCACCAGCAGGGGAGTGGTGCGCGGTCTTGGAGTCACCACTCAACGAAGACACTCCATGCACCGCGGTGAAATCCAGAAGGGACGCCTTCCGGACGTACCTGCGCCAGTTCTGAACTGTTTAAATTGAAGTGTTAAACCATTCTGTTCTCGCTGACAGTGCACCTTCCTTTAGTCAAGGTCTAATCTGCAGTAACTCTAAAGGCTAATGCACTCCGCGAAGAAGCCTGACATCGCGCTCTACGGAGCAACCTTCTCAAGTGTGTGTGTGTGCCCCTTGTAGTCACAGGGATCCATTCGGATTGCGCTTTTGTTCTTTTTCTTTTGTTCAGCAGGGGGACACGGCACCAGATTGCAGACCGTGTCTAACAAAGCTATGCAATCTGGTGGGATATCCAGCTTGGCCAGCTGGACGTACCTGCAAATTTTAATCTTTTGGTCGAGCGCTAATGCATCTGCAGTCGCGCACGGACTGTCGTCACCTTGTCGCGTTTCCGCACTTCGAGCTTGTGGGCTTTGGAGGTTCCTTCAAAAGTTCTTCCTAGGCGGGCGTGTGGCATGTGGCCTTCGAGTCAGTATGGATTTCTATAAGTGTGTCTCTCCTAGTGAGAGCCCAGGGTGACCCCGCAGAGTGGCCTCTGTGGACCCGTCGAACGGGCGTTAGTCTTTATCTTCCCCGCTCGGAGATGTACGTGCCCAGAGCGGGCGAAGTAGGCTTAAGCCAAAGTTATTCGCCAAGACTTGTTGAACTATTGAATTCCAAGCTGGCTCATGCCTTTACGCGACCACAGCGGTCTAAGCAGCCAGCCACTTTGGCAGGGCACAAGGTGAACATAGCGGTCAATTCTTTTTTGCGGCTCGTTGGAACCTGTCCGGCCCTTAGAGTGATGAGTTCCTCCCCTCCCATTCCCGCCATGTCCCCCTCACCCGCTGGCTTGGCGCGGATGGAGGGCATCCCTACAGTGGCTCAACCTGTACTACATCGTGAGATTCTTCATGCGCACGCCGCACGCCTCTTTGGACCTCACCTCTCCCCTCCCTTCTTGGAGAGAGTTACCTGTCCTCATCTTCAAGTACAACTTCGTGGTTTGGATTCCGCCATTTGACAGGAGATGCAGGTCGCTCACACTGCTCTGCACTACACACACGAGTTGCTGACCACCTTTGGTTTGATCCATACTTTAGATTTTGACACGGATCAATTGGAAGCTGAACTACGTGGTTTCACTTCTTTTCGAGGCCATCGCATCCCCCAACCTGTCCCCCGACCAGATGCCCGTCCTCCCTCCTCTTCGACGACGACTACCTCCACACGGGCTACGACCTTTACATGGCTTCCGTCCTTCGCTCTGCAACAGGATCCCAGCCTATTTTGCCGACCTCTGCTACCAGACCACCTCGCGGCCCCTAAGAAGAAGCCCTATCCGAAACTACGGATGAAGAGGACGATTTGTTCGTACCCGATGAAGACGATGAGGCGGACGATGATGCCATGGGCGTCGATCAACTTGGTTGATGGTGAAAACGTGGAAATTCTCCGGGGCCGTTAGGGGGGGCATGAGCAATAACAACCGATAAAGGGGTCGGCGCGAATCTTCGCCTAGCAATTGAAGAAGGCGAGGACCCTGCCGACAGCGTGGGAGTAGTTTTTTGCCCTGATGCATTAGGTGAAGTACAGGCAACAACTATAGTGGCCGACCAGCACATAGAATATGGCCGGAGCATTTGGTTGCAGTTAGAATATGGCATTTTCATTAACGACAGCACAGTTAGAATAAACATTCTAAGTGCAATGACCGACCACACATAACTCAGCTCTTTTCCCACCCAAAGACGCCGGAGATGAAGGCTCATGCATATTTACTGGTTGCTCTAATTCTTATGCGGCGGCTCTGCAGCAATAGCCTCCCGCACTTTGGACAGCTGGTTCTTCGCCAGTCTGTCTCCCTTGAGGCAAGTGTGATTGGATTGGCGCACGCCGCATACATCCTCAGTGTGGTGTGCACATTCTATGTGGATGTGTGGATATTCTATCTGCATGTGGCATATGCTATCTGAATATGTTGCACATCTCTCTTGAGGCAAGTGTGATTGGATTGGCACACGCCGCATACATCCTCAGTGTGCTGTGCACATTCTATGTGGATGTGTGGATATTCTATCAGAGTGTGGAATATGCTATTTGGATATGTTGCCCATCTCCTTTGAGGCAAGTGTGATTGGATTGGCACAAGCCGCATACA